CCCCCCCCCCAGTAGCCAATCTAATTAGTGACTCAATCAAAGCACATCTTAAAGACTCCACCTCTAAACACCAGACAGGGATTAATTGTCCACCCTCTTAATATTATCAACATAAAATGTGAATTAAACACCTGTGTGAGTTTGGCAGGACATATTCCAGTCCAGGCAGTGGGTCAGTACAGATGCATGCTTCATTGCTGTGGCTAAGATGCCCCAGGAGTTGGGATACCCCGTCTAGTTTCCACATGAAAGCAGTTCAGGGTCGGGGATGAATGGCCTTGACTATAGGCTGGAGCAGGGCAACTGCAACACTTCGTGGTGCCAGAAATGTGAAAGAAAAACCACAAGGGGCTTCTGGCAAGGGAGAAACCAAAGCAAAAGCCTCCCAGGGACCAGAGCTGGAGGGAGTCAAGTCAAAGTAACAGTGGTGCGGGACCAAAACCCAGGACAAAACCAAATACCCAGCATTTATGTCAGTCACATTAATACAAGTAAACAGTTCCATAAGTGGGGAAGACGGAGCAACTCCTATAAGAAGAGTCCATTGAGGGGCTGGAGAGATGGCCCAGTGGTGAAAAGCACTGGCTGCTCTTGCAGAGGAGGACCTGGGTTCGATTCCCAGCACCCACATGGCAGCTAACAAGCACCCGTAAGTCCAGTTCCAGGAGAATCCAACTCTTCTGACCTCCACAGGCGCTGCACAACATGGGTAAAACTTACATACATGCAAGCAATACACTCATACACATAAAATTTTAAAAACTACTTTTTTAAAAATCTGAATTCAAGAAAACCTTATGATTATCAATTTAGGTACTCCTGGTCATGAATCACCTGAAAGTCTTAACAATAATCCACATCTAAGGTGGATCATGATCAGCCAGTACCTGAAGACAAAGAAAACCCTAATTCAGATGCTAGTAATGAGTAAACCTAAGGAAAAATTCTGTATTTGAGATAAAGGTTGTTCATTTGCCTCTTAAAATTCAGAGAACAATTTGTATAAGTTGGTTTTCTTTTTCTACCTTGTGATTCCTAGAATGGAACTCAGATTCAGGCTTGGCAGGAAAGCACCTTTAAGCACTGAGCCATCTCGTTGACCCAAAGATTAAGTTTTAGACTTAGTCTTTGGGTATGTTTCAAGTCTTCCACAGTAGAATATGAACCCAATGTCAAAGGCTACAGTCAACACTTAAAAAAATACGGAATATTAACAGTGTACCACACACAATTTGGCTACATCAATCTTCCAGTCTGAACTTTCAGATCAAAGATAAAGTACATATATATTTTTAAACTTTTTATATATGTATGTATATATGCATTAACTGAATCACAATACAAAAATATTTCTCACTAGCTCAAAAGTTTAAAAGCCACTGCACACTAAATGTTGGTAGCGGCATAAGTAGATCTCCTCTGGCAACTACCAGTGTGAAGTGGTGAGACCTGCATAGAAGCCACAAAGGCCTGGGTTTTGGTATTGTCAGTGACAACAGAGACAAGGAATGAGTTCCCCATCATATTTACTCATCCACCTACCTCTTCTTCCTCAAACATTTATTTCATGCCCACTACATGGCAGACAGCAGGGATCTCAGACCAAACAAAGGATTGACTTTTGTGTTTGTCTTTCAAAGGGCAGCAACACATGGGCACGCTCAGTGCTTATTTCAGTGTTTTCCCTTCCTCTCTGCTCTCCAAGTTCTCCTTAACTTCCATGGCTCACATTCCATCTTCTCTAATAAAGAATAATGACTAAGAATGTCCTCTTCCCAAAACCACCTTCTTCCATCCATATTCTACCTTTCAGTATCTCTTAATTTTTAATCACCATAATCTGAAGGACAAAGATGTAGTCCTATTACCTTTTGTATTCTCAATACTGTACTGATGTTAGGCAGGGTCCCTTATCAACAGACACTTTTTTTTTCTTTTTTTCAGACAGAGCCTCCCTGTAAGTCCCAGCTGGCCTGGGACCAGGCTGGCCTTGAACTTACAGCAATCCACCTGCCTCTGCCTCCCAAGTGCTGGGCTTAAAGGTGTGCAATGCCAAACATGGCTCAACAGACACGTTTAAACTCCTAGTCATTAAGCATATCTCTACGAAATTGAGGCCAGCCCAGACTACATTGAGAGTTCCAGGCCAGGTGGGGCTACAGGGAAACCCTGTCTCAAAGAGACCAAATAAATACCTAGTTAGGTGTCTTGCACCTGACAATGGAGTGCCACATTAAAAAAAAAAAACAAAAACAAGACATGGCACCTTCCTTAATAAAGTTCACAGTCCTGTAAAGAATACAGATTTAACAAAAGTTAGAAGCTCTAAGTTTCTCATGACTTAGTACAACATGGTAACAAACGTGTCTTACACACAGTAACATGTAATTTCTGATTTAAAAGGCAGGGGAGGAAGTAATATTAAAATCTACAGAAGGCACAGCATTAAAATGCAACTTTCAATTCAATTTACCAAAAGAAGTACTGCTTTCCCTACAGCTTGCATATCTTCCCTCTGCTACAGGCATGGCTCTGTTCTCCCAAAATTCAAGAAGTCTTAACTTCCAGTACCACATAATGCATGTAACTACATTTAGGAGGTCTTGAGTTTAAAATGGCATGGGTCCTAACCTAGTGTGACTAGTGTCATTTTAACATTCTGCCACTGATACAGAAGACCATGTAGAGAAGACAGCACCAGAAAGGACCCATAAGGTGTTTATCCTAGTCTGCACAACTGTAAGAAAATTAATTTCTGTGTTTAAGTCATTCAGTCTGGTTCTTCATATGACAGCCCTAGCAAACTGACACAACTTCATTTGAAGATGGAGGGCAAACTTTATGGAGACTGAAGTAGTTCCTGCCAGTGAAGGGCACAGAGGGTGCAAGGAAATAACCTTAAAGATGGGGTTTCTTTAAAGAGAAAACTCTTAAATAGCTATAAAAATAAGTTTAAAATAAACAGCTTCAGCACAAAGCAAAAAAAGGCAAACACACACGTACCCTGTAGAAAGTTGCAGCTCCCAGCGCGACAATGACGGCTCCAACAATATGGAACCGCAGGCGCTTGGCCAGGAGGCCACGCATAGGAGGTTTCGCCAAAGCACCGGATGCCATGGTTGCAGATGTCCTTCGGAGGTAAACAAGAATAGAAGACCTTAGAACAGAGAGATTTAAAGAACCGTCATGCACAACACATTTTAGTCCCTGAAGAGGCCAAGACGCCAGCGGACAGATTCTGCAAAGATGTTCAGTGACTTGGTCGGCTCCATCTCCTCCCCCACCTCCCCTATGCTAAGCTCCTAGGCGAAATAAAGGGGCTACCACCAGCCACCGAGGACTACAATGGCAGCGCCCTAGAGGGAGCGTTCAGGTGCAACCGCATTCACCCTGCGGAGGGACCCGGGCCTCAAGGGCCCAAACTCCCCGCACCGCCCCGGCCTCCCCACGGTCGCGCACACCCCCAGCACCGTGGCAGGGGCCGGCGGAGACAGCGAGCCAGACCCGCCTCCAGCGTCCCGGCTCCCCTCAAATCGAGCCGCTGAGGAACCAACCACTACTTCTTACTCCTGTGGAGCCCCAGACCCCGCAGGGCAAATGACCTCATCAAGGTCACACTGACCGCGGGGGAAAAGCAAGCGGAAATGGGCCCGGCCCGCCACCTCCGGAGCCCGCCGGCTGCGCAAGCCCCTGGCCGGCCTCGACCGCCAGAGCTCACCCGGCCCGCCCGTCTAGACCCACGGCCGGCCCGTCTAGGCCCACTCGGCCCGTCGCTGGGCTGAGGACGCGGCGGGGACTGGCGGGGCGATGCGGGAAGAAGGCCTGTGATTCCACAAGGCTAGGAAACTCATCCCGGTTCCCAAATCCGTGAAAAGACGAAGGCCGCAACTGTCAAAACTCAGGGACTCAAACGCCAGCCGCCTCACCTCCACACCAACGTCCTTCCCTACCGCAGGAGAAATGGCTGTGGCGCGCAGGCGCACTAGTGCGAAGACTGGGCGACGGTGGCCGAAGGAGTTCAAAAGGGTCAAAGCGCGCTTCTAGCCAGTCATAGCTGAAGCTCACCAATTCAATCAGCTTCATCCAGGTGGGACCTTGAAAACCAGTCTTGACCTCGTAAGATTTCTTTAGGAAATTAGAAATATTAACCTTACTCATTATTGTGAACTTATTCAGGAATTCAAAAATATTTAACAAATGAAAATATTAATATACTCTATAAATGCAGTCCATCATCTTTGTCAAAGGAGTGCCCAAACCATGGACACGAACGTTTTCATTACAACTAGCAGGACATGAATAACCACTTGGTTTGGGTAAAGAGTAAGTCAACTTTAATAATGCCAATTCCATGCAGTAGGAGGGTGGCAAGACCACAGAAGCAATTAGCAGCCTGGCAAAGCCGAGTACATTTTAGTGAGTATTTGTGTTGGGTCTTTAATAAAAGACAAGTGTTTTAGGGGCTGGAGAGATGGCTCAGCGGTTAAGAACGCAGTTCTTGCAGAAGACCCTGGTTCGAATCCCAGCACCCACATGGCAGCTAACAACTGTCCGTTACTGTTACTGTCCCAGGGGGATCTGACAGCCTCTTCTGACCTCCATGGGCATTGCACGACACCGCTGTACTTACATACATACAGGCAATACACACATACAGATAAAATTTTTAAAAAATAATAAAATATTAAAAATAAATTTAAAAAGCAAGTGTTTTAAAGGAGGACAACTGGGAAATTTGTGCAAAGCCATGCAGAAGGGGAAGACTTTTGTGCTTTGAATGTTTGGTTTACTTTTTATTGAAATAAACTAGATTCACAATATGTTAAGTCAACCAAGTAAGCCTACTATGTATAGGGTTGTTGTCCAGGATGTCTTCCAGGAGGTGCAGTCTTCTTGCAGAGTTTTTGTCCTCAACTTGTTAACAATCTGGAGACTGAAAACTTTAACCTACACCATGAGGTGGATTTGAAAGTGAGAGGTGGATTTGGACCTCATTTTTCAGCTGTCTATCCAGCTGAAAATACTTATGTTGAATTTCTTCAGGTGATAAGTCTTCCCACTTCCCACTCCTTTTCCATCTCCAATGCTACCTTTGGAAAATGAACAGTAGATCTCAGAGTTTGCAGGGACCTGAGTGTTGAAACCATCAGAGGAAGGTTCAGGGAGGATGTGGAAAGGAAGGAAGCAGAGCTGAGTTAAGGTCCAACAGACAGGCCTGGAAAAATGAAGAAATAGCAGAGACATTATTAGTTAGAAAAATGCAGCAAAGACAAGACATGTGGGACACAGAGCCTGACTGGATGGAGTGGAATGGTTTAGGAATCATGGTTGGGCTTGAAAGCCCAGGGCCAATCACAATCTGTGAATGACTGAAAATGACACATGAAAATAGAGTAGAGAGATGGTGTCCAAGAACCCAGCACACATGGATTTAAGACCCAGTTCATCACCACTGTTCGATTATAGCTAGCAAATATCTAAAATACCTCTCCTTTTTGCTTTTTTTTTAAGTTAGCACACTGATTGATTTCATGATGGCATTTTCAAACATATGTCAATAGTCCTCCCCCTTCTGCTCTGACGTCACATGACTCCCCTCTCTTTTGCTCTTATCTCTCAGCTCCTCTCAGGATCCCCTTTCTAGTTTTTGCCACACACACACACACACACACACACACCCTTTCAATCTGGGTTCCACATATGTGAGAAAAAATTTGTGTTTGTTAATCTGGCTCATTTCAGTTAATAATTTCTAACTATTATGTTCCTGAAAATGTAATGATTTCATTTTTTATGGCTGAATAAAATTCCACTGTGTAGGCCGGTCAAACCTTGGCAAGCTTCTGAGGAGAGGGACGGGGGTCTGGTCGCCACGTCGCAGTTTCCACGTCTGCTCCTGCTCCCTGCCCGGGTCTCGCCATGGCGGATCTCTCGCTTTCCCGACGTCCAGTGCGGCTCGTAAAGTCGGGAAGACGCGCCACCTCTGCAGGGTGCTGCCCGCGCCTTTCCCCGCAGAGCTGCGGTTGCTCCTAGGCCGCCACCTCCTGGCCCGCGTGGCCCCGCGGAGCAGCAATTTCAACTCCTAGAAGACATCAGAAAATTCATACAGAAGAGAAACCATACAAATGTGAAGAATGTGACAAATTGTTTACAATAAACTCAAAACTTAGGACACATCAAAGAATTCATACTGGAGAGAAGCCCTACAAATGTGAAGAATGTGGAAAGCCCTTTAGCCAAATATCACATCTTAGAACACACCAAAGAATTCATACTGGTGAGAAACCCTTCAAATGTGAAGAGTGTGACAAGTCCTTTATGTGTACATCATATCTTAGAGCACATGAAAGAATTCATACTGGAGAGAAGCCCTACAAATGTGAAGAATGTGACAAATCATTTACTATGAGCTCAAAACTTAGGAGACATCAGAGAATTCATACAGGAGAAAAGCCCTGCAAATGTGAAGAATGTGACAAATTGTTTACAATAAACTCAAAACTTAGGACACATCAAAGAATTCATACTGGAGAAAAGCCCTACAAATTTGAAGAATGTGACAAATCATTTACAATAAGCTCAAAACTTAGGACACATCAAATAATTCATTCAGGGGTGAAACCCTTCAAATGTGAGGAATGTGAAAAGTCCTTTAGTCGGATAGCAAATCTTCAAAGACACCAAAGAATTCATACTGGCGAGAAACCCTACAAATGTACAGAATGTGAGAAGTCCTTTCGTCATCTGTCATATCTTACAGTACATCAAAGAATCCATACTGGAGAAAAACCCTACAAATGTAAAGAATGTGACAAATCGTTTACTGTAAGCTCAAAACTTAGGAGACATCAAAGAATACATACTGGAGAAAAGCCCTACAAATGTGAAGAATGTGACAAATCGTTTACTATGAGCTCAAAACTTAGGAGACATCAAAGAATTCATTCAAGGGTAAAACCCTTCAAATGTGAAGAATGTGACAAGTCCTTTAGCTGGATATCACATATTCAGAGACACCAACGAATTCATACTGGCGAGAAACCCTACAAATGTACAGAATGTGAGAAGTCCTTTCGTCAACTATCACATCTTAGAGGACATCAAAGAATCCATACTGGAGAAAAACCCTACAAATGTGGAAAATGTCACAACTCCTTTACATATATATCATCTCTTAGAGCACAGGAAAGAATTCATACTGGAGAGAAGCCCCACAAATGTGAAGAATACGAAAAGTTCTTTAATCAAATGTGTAATCCTAGAGTCCATCAAAGAAACTACATCAGAGAAAACCCCTAACAATGTGAAGAATGCATCAAGCCCCTTAATCATATTTCACCTCTTAGAGAACAGCAGAGAATTAATAGTGAATAAAAACACTACAAATGTAAGTAATGTGGCCAGTTCCTTTATATGTCAAATATTAGAACTCACAGAGAAGTCATACTGGAGAGCAGGCTACAGAAGTACAGAATGTAGGAAATCCTTCACCCTGTGCTAAATACTTAGAAATCATTACAGAATTCATGATAGAAACTTTTAACGGTATAGGTACAATGATAAAAATTTTAGTAAGTAAATCCTAGAAAACATAGAATTTATACTGATGCCAAAGCTTAGAACTAAAATTAGTGAAGCAAAATCTTCAACAAAAGCTATTTCTTTTTCAACGTGACATGACTCATGTGGGAGAAACTAGATATATAGACTGAAAAAGACTTTATTTGAACTTAATCATCTTGAACATCACAGAATCCATAGTGAAGAAACTCTATAGCTCAAAAGAATACGAAGAATCATTTACATAGAACTCTAATCTTAGAACACATAAGAAAATTCATAGTGAACAGAAACCTCTCAAAATTCTTAAATCTCATAAGTTATTCACTGTCAAAGATTTCACTGTGGGGGCTGGAGAGATGGCTAGTGGTTAAGAGCACTGACTGCTCTTGCAGAGACCTGGGTTCAATTCCCAGCACCCACATGGCAGCTATGAACTGTCCTTAACCAGTTCCAAGGGAATCTGAAGCCCACTTCTGACCTGCAGCTTAAAAGAATTTCACTCTGTGAAGTATAAATATCAAGACTGTGACATAAATTTAGTTACAGGACTCAAATATGGATATGTGATCACTTTCATAAACACACAATTTAGAAATTCCTAAAGTGTATTAAGGAAAATGTCTATAAAATAAAATGGTAACATTATATATCCAAACACCAAATTTTTCATAACATAAAAGTCCACAGCACAATATAATTAAGACAATATAGCAAGATAAGAGTATTATGGGAAACAAAATGAAAGTAATAGCATCAATTGCTAGTATATTTTAATAGAATAAGATGTGATATTTTTGTAGATTTAACTGTGTTCTTTTTTATAGACTTTTATTCCCAGAATTGGAACTTATTAAAGGGAAAACTTTGTAGGTTTATTTGATCCTCAACCAAATTTTCTTCTTTACTCAGGATTATATGATAATTTATTGTAATTGTTGACTCAGACCTGAATGAATAAATTGCAAATTAGAAATAATTCATTAATGCAATTGCTCCATGAGTAATTGCTATATTATATTCCGCCCCAAAATCTAAATGGAGATTATTTTCTTTTTAGTAATGAGGATGCCTTCTACAGTGCCTTAGGTGTTCTGGACATTTTTCTATTATACTAAAAGAAAAAGTCAATCTTGAGTATTGGAGATGCATCATTACCTGTGTTTCAGTGTGGAAAACAAATAGTCTAGCACATTCATTTAGTGATGAATTAAACAATAGGAAGAATTGTTAGATGTTTTCAGTATTACTTGATGTAGGAAAAGTATAGAGAAAGCTGTTAATAAAAAATTTTGTGATTTTAACCATGTTCTGTCCTATTGGCATTTTAGCCTACCTCTTTGAAAGTGTCAGATTATGAACTCTAGTATTTATGTGTTGAGCATAATGTTGCTTTATCCTGCCTTTTATTTGTGTTGTAACTGACCCACATGTATGATATTTCAAAATCTCATATATGATATTTCAAAATCTTTTAAGCTAGGCCAGGTGTGGTGATGCATGCCTTTAATCCCAGCACTTGGGAGGCAGAGGCAGGCGGATCTCTAAGTTCAAGGCCAGCCTGGTCTACATAGTGAGTTTGAGGACAGCTGGGGCTACAGGGAGACCCTATCTCAAAAAGACCAAAAAAAAAAATCTTTTAAGCTGTATATGTTTATTTTTGTTAAATAAAACTCATATTCAATGCTTTAACCTAAAGATTCTATTAAAAATGTTATTTCTACAATGTGAAAAAAAAAATTCCACTGTGTACTCACCACATTTTTCTCTATTGACTCACCTGTTGATGGACATTTAGGCCAGTTCCATTTTTAGTACACATGAATGCTTAAGGCTCTCTTGTATCTGGTTGACTTAGAATGCTTTCGAAATGTACCCAAAAGTGATATACCTGAGTCATAGTGCTTATTTTCAGTCCTTGAGAAACCTCCATATGTTCTTGCCAGCATTTGTTGTAGTTTTGGGGGGAGGGGGCTAGCCATTCTGTCTAGGTGAGAGGGAATCTCAACACAGTTTTATTTACATTTCTCTGAATGCTAAGGATGTTGAAGATTATTTCTTGGAAAGTTCCTAGGGTATGGGTGTGCAGAAAAGGTACTGATGTTTTTATGTTGATTTTGTAGCCTCTCCTTTCTGAGAGTGATTATCATTTCTAAGAGTTTTCTGGTGAATGCTAGGGTAGCAGGGCACCATTTCTGCAAATAGGAATGATGTGACCTCTTTGCTGTTTGTATTCCTTTTCTTCCTTTCTTTTGTTTTATTGTCTTAGCTAAGACTCCAAGCACTAGACTGAATAAGGGTAGAGTGAGCACCCTTGTATCATTCAAGAGGGGGCATGTGGTTGAAAGTTGGCTATAGTGTTTATTATGTTAAGGTATGTTCCTTCTATTCCTGATTCCTTCAGGGTTTTTTTTTTTTTTTTTTTATGAAGGAATATTGAACTTTGTCAAAGTTCTTTTCTGCGTCAATTGATGTGATCATGTAATTTCTGTTCTTAAGTCTATTTATATGCTGGCTTATACTTATCTGCATGTGTTGAGCCAAACTTGCACCCCTGGAATGAAACCACTTTGATCACGCTGTATGATCTTCTTAATTCTGTTTGCAAGGATTTTATTGGGAATTTTTGTGACTGTGTTCATCTGGGAAATGGATCTATGGATTTCTTTCTTTGTTGTTGTTGTGTCCCTATTTGGTTTTGGTATTAAAGTAATGCTGGCTTCCTGGAATGAGTATTGTAGTGTTCCCTTTCCGTTGTATGGAACAATTTCAGGACCAATGGTATTAGCTCTTCTTTTGTTTAAGATTTTAGTTTATGTGTAGGAATGTTTTACCTGCATGTATGTAATTGTACCACACACATGCCTGTGGCCTGTAGAGGCCAAAAGAAGGTGTCAGGTTCCCTATAACTGGAGTTATTGGCAGTTGTTAACTGCCATGTGGGTCTAGGGAAGTGAACCCTAGTCCTCTAGAGAAACAATTAGTACTCTTAACCACTGAGCCACTTCTCTCAAACCCTGTGTTAACAGTTCTTTAAATATTTGGTTAAACTGGCAATGAAACTATTTAGTCCTGGTCTTCTTCATCAGGAGATTTTTGTTACTCTTTTCAGTTCAAATGTTAAGGATCTGTTTAAGTTGTCTGTGTCCTCTTGATTTAATTTCAGTAGGTCATATGACCTAGAAATGCACCCATTTCTTCTAGATTTTCCAGTTTTTTAGAATGTAAGTTTTCAAAATATTCCTTAGCAATTCTCTGGATTTCATTGTAATCTGTAGCAAACTTTTTTTCCATCTTAATTTTTATTAATTTGGGTCTTCTCTGTCTTCCTCTTGGTAAGTTTCAATAGAGGTGTCCTAGATCACTTTCCATTGCTGTGATAAAACACTCTGACTAAAGCATACTTGGGCAGGAAGTGGTTTATTTGGTTTGCACATCCTGATCACAGTTCATCCTTGAGGGAACCCAGGGCAGGAACACAGAGCAGGAACCTGGAGGTAGGAACTGAAGCAGAGACCTTGAAGGAACTCTGCTTACTGACTTTGCTCCCTGGCCTGTACTTGGCATGTTTTCTTATATAACCTAGGACCACTTGCCCAGGGGTGGTACCACCCACAGTGGGCTGGGCCTTCCCACATCAACCAGTACTTAAGAACATGCCTCACAGACATGGCCACAGGCCAATCTGGTAGGAGAAGTGTCTCAGGTAAGGTTCCCTCTTTTCAGGTATGTCAAGTTGGCAATCGAAGCTGTCCAGAACCAGGGATTTGTCAATCTTATTTTTTTCAGAGAACCAACTCTTTGATTCTTTGTGTTGTTCTTTTAGTCTCTATACTACTAATTTATGTTACAATCTTTATTATTTCTTGCTGGCTACACTCTTGGGTTTAGAATATACTCATTTTTTTGTTTGCTTTTTACTAAAAACTTGAGGTACATCATTAGGTTATTTATTTGAGATCTTTCTGAGTTTTTTAATCTATTTTTTAAATATTTTATTTATTGTTTTTATTTTTATGTGTATGAGTGTATTGTCTGCATGTATGTGAGTACACCCATGTTGTGCAATGCTGCAGGGTCAGGAGAGGGCTTCTGATTCCCCTGGAAGTGGAGTTAAGGACAGTTCATAGCTGCCATATGGAAGCACTCATCACTATAAACTTTTCTCTTAGAATTAACTGTATTGTCTATATTCAAAGATTCTGGTACATTTTGCTTTTATTATCACTTGATTCCAGTAATTTAAAAAAATTCTTCCCTGAGATCTCCAATGGTCCAGTGTTTGTTCAAGAATATATGGTTTCCAGGTATGGTGGCTCACACCTTTAGTCCCAGTACTTGGGATGCAGAGGCAGGTGGATCTCTATGAGATCAAGGCCAGCCTGGTCTACATAGCAAGTTTTAGACCAGCTGGTGCTATAGGGAGACACTTGCTTTTTTTAAAAAAAAAAAGAGTATATTGTTCAATCTCCATGTATTTGTGTAGTTTATCTTCCTATTGATTTTAGTTCCTCTATGAACTGATAAGGTACAATAAATTATTTTGATTCATTCATTTTTATTTGGTAAGACTTAATTATTAACAGTTCTTTGTTTTCCCTCTAGAATGGTACCTACTTTGTTGATTGTAGTGCAAATGAAAAATAATACATATATCTATAGTGCTTGGGGAATAGGCATTCTGAATATACATCTCTGTGTTCTTTTTTAAAAAAAACTAATCTCTATTTCATCTTTCCCACTTCTACCTCTAGAGCCAGTGTCTGATTGTCCTTCCAGAATCCATCCCTTCCTTACTTTCAGCCATGTAGTTCTAGAAAGGCCAAACCCTATTCTGGTTTAGCATATCATCCAAGAAGGCATCAAATGTTGTCACTCATCTCTTGTCCACAGCAATTAGTTGGGATGAGCACAGGACCAGCTGAATGAAATTCAGTTCTTCTGTTGAAACTGATAGAAAAAAACGATTGGCGAGGTTATAATAGGATGGAGAAGGGGCTTTGTAAATCTACAAGAGCATGAGACCAGAGAGTAATGTGTGCTTGCAGGGTGCCAGGTGCTGATTGGAAAGACAAATGACATCAAAAACTCACCCTCACAATGGAATTTTATTCAGCCATAAAGAAGAATGAAATTATGTCATTTTCAAGAAAGTAGGAGGAACCATAGATCAACATGTTAAGGAAGATAAGCCAGACTCAGAAAAAAAGAATCACATTTTCCCACATACGTGAAATCTAGATTTTTTTTAAATTTTATTTATTCTTTTTTATTTATGTGTATGAATATTTTGCCAGTGTGTATCTAAGTGCACCATGTACATGAAATGTCTACAGAAGCCAGAAAAGGGCATCAAATCCCCTGGAACTGAAGTTAGGGGCTGTTGTTAGCTGCCATGTAGGTGCCAGGAGTCGAACCTGGGTCCTCTGCAAAAGCAGCCAGTGCTCTTAACTGCTAATCTATCTCTCCAGCCCCCTAGATTTAAATATGAATACATATATGTCTTGAAAATTGGAGGCTTATGAGGGAGAAGAGGTCTAAGGGAGGGGAGCAGGAGGACAGAAGGCAGCAATGGGGGAAGAAGACAAAAACATCACATTTTGCACAATATAGATTTAATTATATATGTATGTACATATATAGGACATGAAAGCAGTCAGGAGACTATGGGGGGAGATGGGGAGGGTGCAATGATACATATGAGTGAAAATGCCATGGAAACCCATCATTTTGTACACTAACTAAAAACATTAATTTTAATAAAGAGAAGTAAACCTCCACCTTCCTATAGCTTACATTCTAGTGAGCAAAACAATAGCCAAAATATATGCAATAGAGATAAGAGCAGTGGAAAAACAGAGATGTGGCAGTAAAGAAACTGTGTGAAGAAGTATGTGTTTAATATTGGTAGGTTAAGACTGTGGCCATCTAACTTGAATCCATGGTTTGCATTAGAGCAAAAGCTGCCTCAGTGGAAGGACTGAGCTTGTACTGTGTATGAAACCTAGGAAGTTAAATGACAATGCCTGTAGGGCCCTGAGACCCTCTTCATTCACCCGCTACCCCCCCAATCCCTCCAGACCCCCACTAATTGCTCTTTTAGCTTCTGTAAAATGCTTGGCTGCTGCTTTAGACATGCCTAGACATGCCCTGGCATGCCCTGACCCCCACCTGCTATT